TACATTCCCAGAGCAATTATAGTCCCTGAAAACAATAAACCTTCAATGACTACTTCTTGATGCATTTTGCCCAGTTGCTAGAAGGCACACGTTTGTGCTCTGTATGCATCCATGGCCACTTCAGCTCAGTGGATATGGTTCTTGGCTAGAGGCATCTGGGAATACAAGGGGAAGCTAAATGGGGCTCTCTACTTGATGATCCTGTGCAGAAAAGGACAGTCCTATAGAATGAAGAATCATCCCACCCCCAGATGCCAAGAGTGACCCCCAAGTTTTCAGAGAACTGAGGTGCCCAAACTACTCACACCACCTGTTTGCCACAGGTCAGGTTAAGTTCATACTCTGTGCCTGTGGAGTGCTTGAGCACCTCTGCTCAGTCTTTAGCTGCACAGAGGCCACCAATATTCTAAGCTTCTGCAGAACACAGATTTCGTTGCCACAGCAACTTGACAGTAAGGATAAGCAAATAAAAAAGAAAGTTAGCTGGACTCCATGTTCTAGTGGCTCAACTGAATTATGCAGTTGTTGCCAGTAACATGAAATAAATTACTTTTTTGAGTAATGGTATACCTTACAGCAATGAACATGAGTTTTTGAGAAAGTACTTGCTCTGTACTTCCTATTTTTATTCTAATTCTTATCTGTCTGCAGTTATATGTAAACCTGTCAGATGTTTCACCAATACTACACAATAAAAGGAAATGAAATCAAAGAGAAATTATCAGGCAATTTGCAATTTTCAACTTGGATTTTCACTGCTCCTTGCCTCTGCTTTTGGTCATCAAACTGATCCCTATCACATTAGCCAAAATTAATAACTATCTTTTTTGAACCAAAAAATAGAACCCTTGTTCTTGAAAAGGGTTCATTTTGATTTGGGAATCTGTTTGCTCATATGAAAAAATATTAGAAATAAACATGGTATTAGTATAAAGTTAATTTATTTATTTTTAGCAAGTTTTACTGACCATCTATTACGTTCCAGACACTGTTCTAGGCAATGGCAATAAAACAGTGAACAAAACAGATATAAGATTCTACCCTCAGAGATTACCTCTGGAAAAAGGGAAAAACAAAGTGAAATAGGTAATATATTAAAAGCGAATATGTGCTGTGGGGAAAAATAATACACAGAATAGGGGTAGAGAGTCGCTGTTTCGAATAGAGCTATCGGTGAAGCTCTCAAAGAGATAAGTTGAACGAAGATCTAAGGGAGGTGAAGGAATGAGTCATATAGTTCATTTTAGCAGAGGGAAGAGTAAGACAAAGATCCTGAGAAAGAAGGTGCCCGGCCCACTGAGGAAGAGTCAAGGCACCAGTCTAGCAGCAGTAGAAGGAAGGAGGCTAGAAGGGCAGGAGGGGAGGTCAGTGATGTAAATAAAGGGGGCTGGGTCATGCAAGCAGGGTTGCCCACTATGTTAACTTACGCTTTTACTCTGGGTACAGGGAGAAACACCTGTAAAGTTTTGAGCAGGGCACTGACAACATATGCCTTAAGTGTTCAGAGGATCGTTCTGACTGCTGTGCTGAGAATGGAAAGTAGAGATGACCTGTTCAAGCAGGGAGACTAGGTATGTTGCTTTTCTATCACACCGGCAAGAGATGATGATGGCTTAGATGAGCATGCCATCAGCAGAAGGGGTAGAAGTTAGCAAATAAAATGACCCATCCAGCGGGAATATACCAAAAATGAAGATGCAATGATTTATCACTATATCTGCTATTGTCTGATCCAATAATTTCTTCTTGCCTCAAAGCCCAAATTTAGCACCCATTATACTGAGCTCTCCCATTATACTGAAAAGATCAAGACTATGCAGTGGAGAGCTTTTCCACCTCTCTCTACTACAACTCAACACCCGTTACTTTTTGTATGGCTTTTGTATTTTAGAAAAAGCAAGTCTTAAATTGTGAGCTACAAAGTAATGGAGCCCAGTTAGGAGAAGGCATTCATCTAGTGGGAAATAACCAGGGTAGCAGAAATAAAAATGAGACACTTTCCACACTAAAAATGAGACACTTTCCACACATATTTAACATGCTGATTAGCTAAACTCAGAAGCCAACCAGCGCTATCAAGCTATTGCCACTGCAGCATGAGTTAGATGGCATGAGTGAAATCCCAGGGAGCTAACTCACATGGTACAGCAGACCTCTGCTATCTCATCCGCTGCTCCCCTCAGCAGTGTACTTCAGTAGATCCGCCTGTTCTGCTCCCCACTTTGTCTCTGGTGAATCCTCTCACCCCTTTCTATACCCCACCCCCAGCCTCTGGCCGACACCCCAGTTCTGTATGCATAAATAAATAAATATTTTTAAAAATATGTATTTTTTTAAATCTTTAAAAAAAAATTCCTTATCACCATGAAGTTTATATTCTGGAATTTTAACATGGGAAAAGATTTCGGAGGCTTTCCAGGGAGGAAAAAGAAAACCCAAAACACACAAAAAAGAAAAAGTACCCACTGGCCTTATACTTCTCCTTGATAATATTCATACTTTCTGAAGACGACTACACAATATTAAGCTCTAAAGGAAAAACAAAGTAATATATCCAAGCAAAATTTTGCCTATCTACCCATCCATTTACCAGCACAAGGGGATGGCTGGAATGCCCTTTCAAAATGTTAGCTCTCATCATTTCTGGTGGCCAGTTTGGGGTCATGTGTTACTTTGGGGTTTTTGTTTTTTAATTATATCACTTAGAATTCATAAAGGCCAGATGAATGGCAGTGTGCAACAAAGAGATCAAAGAATCTACAAGAGAATGGCATTTCTTCCCTCAATTTCACAAAATAAACTTAAGCTTACTACTACATGAGATGAATCCTTGTAGTAATACTATTCCAATTTCTTTTTCCTAAACTTACTTTGCTCCACTAAATTGATGTCAAGATCCACTCACATATTTTCCGGAGCTTGCAAAACAGACATGAGGCTATTGGTTTAATGATGACAACCATTCAACACTGACTATGGCTCAATGAGATACTTTATCATGGAGAGCCAAAGAATGCCCAGCACTTATTAAGCACTTAATTAGCATTTCCTGATAATCGAAATGAGTGATTCCTTCAGTTGAGTAGTCTGCAACCTAAGAACTGGGTTCCTATATTTATAATCTTTGCATTTCCAGGCGGAGGTCCAGGTTCAGGCCTAGAACCTGATTAAATACATGTTTGAGGCCTAACTATCTAAGAGAACAATTTAATATAGCATTTCATAAATAGGATGTATGACAAATAAAACATTTCTCTGGTTCTTAGTAACAAAAAGTATTTAAATGAGGAGTTTTAATTGTAACAATATGTATTTGCCAGCAAAAACATGATATTCCCTGTAACAACATACCAGTTAACAGATGTGAAGACTTTTCTTCTCCAGGAATTCAAACCCTAGCCTGCTTGTGCCAGAAAGGACACAAACTACAAGACAGAGGCCTCTCTTACCTCCAAACCCCATCCTCAAAACTTCCATTTTTAAGCAAAGTAATTTCAAAATTGTCAGATTGCAATTAATTTTTAAACAAGCTCATTTTCTCCCTCTCAAACTGTATTGTCTAATGGTGTCAGGGAGCAGGATACTGTCGGTGTGACCTTATTACTACAGTCCTAATGATCTGTGTTAAAAAAAATCTCTGAAGAAGTTTCTACCTCACAGAGCCCTTGTAGGATTCAAATGAGAAGGTTGTTTGACAACCTTCTTTTAAAATAACCTATAACCTAAATCTTTACAGGAGGAGAAAACTGTTTCTGAACCCTAACCTTGAACAAATCTCACTTTTTAAAAGAAAGTTCTCTTACTTGAGTGACTCACCATATAGTTTCCCTACGTTCATATTTGGAATTTGTGCAATTTTTTTTCAAAACGAACAGCACTGCCATCCATTCTACTGAAAAAAAGGGGTTTTTTTACAGATTTTTTTTTTCTGACTTGTGCTTTTTGGTTTAGTTTATTAAGATTTTTACATATAACTGGAGAAGGGCTGTCTTGGATATATATTATTACTATTTTTAATTTTCCTTTTTATTCCCCCCCCCTTTGCAGCTATCTCTACTTGCATATTTTATATTGACTATGAGTCCAGCAAACAGATATTAACAAAACAAAGTAAAAAACATGGAAGGGCAGCGTGGAAGCCAGCCTGAGAACATTTCATCCAGATTTACCACTTAGGAAGGGGAGCCACAACAGGTGCGCTTAGTTACTCTTTTTCTTCTTTTTATGTGACTATGTTTACATTAATGTTTAACTGCACAACTAGGGCAAGAATGAACTTTCCTCATAAAAAAGGTCTGAGGCCTCCCTGGTGGCGCAAGGCCTTAAGATGAAACCTATGAAGCTACTAGCTGCCACTGCAGCAGGAGTTGGATCCCAGTCCAGGGAGCTATCCACATGGCGCAGCAGACCTCTCCTGACTCACCCGCTGCTCCCCTCAGCAGTGTACCTCAGCCAATCTGCCTGTTCTGTTCCCCACTCTGTCTCTGGTGAATCCTCTCACCTCTCGCACCTCTGGCCTGTACCCCAGTTCTTGTATGCATAAATAAATCTTTAAAAAATAAAAATAAAAACAACGGTCTGCAGCCAAGGCCAAAGCTCCCGCTGGTCCCTCCCACTCCTCGAAAAAGGCTTGCCAGTGCACTGTCCTTCTAGCCTTTCCACCTATCTTACTCACAACTTTCAAACTTTGAGAACCACCTGCTCTCCCTATTACCCCACTCCATCCCCACAGGCAGCGTAATGTGATTCCTTCTTAACCCCACCCTGGGGCTCCTACGGACTATTTCCCGAGATCTGTCCACCCGACCCTCTCTCCTAGCGTCAGGGGAACCTTCTGCTTCTCCTCGCTCTGCGAGGCCCCCCTTCTGCCGCCCGGACACACTGCGCGCTCCTCCGGGCGCCCGAGGTCGCGCCTCTAGCCAAGCTCAGCGCGGCCGGCCGCGGGCGCTCCCGGCAGGGGGGCGCGGGCCCTGACCCCACCCCACCCGGCGCCACCTTACCCGCGGAGCACCGAGACCCCGAGCAAAGAAAGCTCGGCCTAGCAGCGCCATATTGGGCCTCCCGGACTCGGTCAACGAGCCCTCGGCCGCAGGGGTGCGCCACAAATAACAAAGTTCCCGGGACTGGGCGGGGAGCGCGGGCGGGCCGGGGCGGGGAGGGGCGGAGGGTGTGAAGGGCAGGGTGGGGAGAGCAGAGGGGCTAACAGGGGTTCGGGGGGCTGGCGGGAGTGGGAGGACCCTGGCAGCCGCCGCGCCCCGCGCCCTAGACTTCAGATGCGAGTCTCAGGGCGCTGGGGCGCCCCAAATCTCCAATTGCTCTTTTGCTCCCTTTTCCTTGGTCGCCCAGGGTGGGCGTGGTGGTCCGTGTCCCAGTGGGGCGAAGAACTCCAACTCCAGGAAACAGAGTTGAAGTTTGTAGGTTGCAGACACTTGTGGCACATGCATATTGCCCGCCGAATTTTTAAAGCCTTTTTTTTTAAGCAATTTATGTTTATTCCTTAAGTATATGTTTAAGTTAGTGGTTGGTATGGCGCTAAATTATATATCGTCCAAATAATATATCTTGCATAGAAAATAGACCTTATTTTTCCTAAGGCTGAAATCTCATAAATGTTGCAGTTTGGAGGCGGCTTTAACTTTTCGAAGGACACAGCGCCCCCTGTCGCCTGCAGGCAGCGCGGCTCTGAACTTCGTGCTTTTGCTTTGCTTTTTTTTTAAAGATTTATTTATTTATTTATACAAGCACTGGGTACAGTCAGAAGTGCAGGAGGGGGAGAGAATTCACCAGAGCCAGAGCGGGGAGCAGAGCAGGCAGAAGGACCGAAGTACACTGCTGAGGGGAGCAGCGGGCGGCAGGAGAGGTCTGCGCGCCATGTGGGACCCTCCTCCAGTGTCCGGGGAGCAGCCGGGGATCGAACTGGCGCTGCAGAGGCTGCGGGCAGCTTCACAACCCAGTGTTCAACCGCTGAGCCAGCGGGGAGGCCTCGTGCTTTTGCTTTTCAAAGAAAGAAATACACACGTTAAAAGCAAAGTCAGAACTTTAGTTTTTCCTTCCCTCTGTGTGTGTGTGTGTGTGTGTGTGTGTGTACCAACAGACACTCTGCATATGTCATATCATTTTTTCTTTCCTCCTTGTAAAATGTAAATATTGATACCTAATTCAGGGTTAATGTGATATTGAAAGGATGCCTATCTTTGAATCTCCAAGTTCAGGCCAATGGTAAGATGACCAGAGAGAGGGAGGGAAGGGTAAGAGGTGGAAGGAGAAGGTAGAAGAACCCCGGGACATACAGGACTTGGCCTGGCATGCATAGGTAGAACATACTATTCTTGTTGTGCCCATGATCAGCAGACTCGGAGAGCATAGCCTCCAAGAACCCAAAGACAGCAGATGCAAACACAAAAGGGAGTTTATTACAGACTCGAGTCCAGGCTCACGGCACCTACCAACGCAGCGGCAGATATCGAGAGCCCCAACAAAGGAAGCAGGGTTTTTTTTATAGGGTTAAATCGTGCTGGCAGTTATTCATTGGCTACAACGATGCGTTCTTCAACTTTGCCCGGCTATAATTCTAAGCTAACTGGCTGGGCGGAGATGCAGCTCCAAGGCAAGTTCGCCCTCATTGGTGACCAGTTACACACAAACTGACAAAGCAATGGCTAAGAATACTTATGCCTTGTTCCACACTTCTGTGTGACATAAACTGGCTCACAGAATAGCTACCTTAGACTAAGTTATACCGAGAGCATAATCAGGTGAGGCAAAACAAATCAACTTGCAACAAATCAACTTGACAATTTTGCCTAAGGACGGACAAAAACAAGTTTGTCAGCCACAAAATGCCTAGCAACCTGTCTCTTGGATAAAATAAGTGAGTTTCTTTACAAATTACAACTTTTAAGTTCATTCTAGTTTACCCTTATCATCGATATAATTTTAGAGATTCTCCTTTATAGATTTGCCCATACTTTCTGATAACATCTAGAGTGAACTCCTAGTTCCTTAGGCCACCTCCTAAACTATCCCAAGTCCTATAAGAAGTTCTTCCTAATATCCCTTTACCAAGACACTCCATGACTCCCATGGTCTTCCCTTACTACAGCTTCCACAACCATGAGCAATATATTTCTCCTATTTATGAGCCACTAGATTATGGAGGGAACACTTACGTTTGAAAACTTATAATTACATTTACATTAGAAAACTTGTAATTACATTTACATTAGAAAACACTCTTGGGCCTCCCCAGTGGTGCAGCGGTTGAGCGCTGGGTTGTGAAGCTGCCCGCAGCCTCTGCAGCACTGGTTCGATCCCCGGCTGCTCCCGGCCACGGGTTGGGGGGCGGGAAGAGTCCCACATGGCGTGCAGACCTCTCCTGCAGCCCGCTGCTCCCCTCAGCAGTGTACTTCGGTCCTTCTGCCTGCTCTGCTCCCCGCTCTGGCTCTGGTGAATTCTCTCACCCTCCCGCGCTTCTGACTGTACCCAGTGCTTGTATAAATAAATAAATAAATCTTTAAAAAAGTAAATAAATAAACCAATGTTAAAAAAAAAAAAGAAAACATTCTTGGTCTCTTTTGTAATGTATGCAACTCTTTGTTTTAAAGATTAAATAATCCCTTTTCTAGCTTTACAACCTAGCTTTCTCAAGGACAGGGGTCCATATCTTCGAAATATAGTCATCAAAGAAGAGAGCACCCCTTCTGATTTCTGCTGGAGAATCAGAGTCTTACTTTGGTGGGCCGCCAACTGGCAAAACTGCCTCCTGTCACAGAGATATCAGAAGTTTATTTTTCCTTTGGATAAAACCAGTTAACTAATACAGATGGTCACCCCAATTACTGTGGGAATTTAGGCTAGAGTATGTGTGACAAGCAGTGCTGTCAAGTCCTTTTACCAGAACACTAGTTACTATTTATCTTGAGAACACCTATGAAATGGGTTGTATCTGCTTGACTGGATAAAATGGCTAGATCTCTGTCCTCACAATCTCTTTAGCAGATACTTGTGATTCTGGTTTATGTTTATTCAGTTATAAAACTGTTTCTCTTCTGTCTTTGTGGAGAGGTTTTCTGCAGTGGCAGGAGATAGTTTTTAATTGTTTCCCCAACAACAATCAGCAAACTGCAGCAGGTCAGCATCCATTCCTAAAGTCAAATCAGTTCCTCCAACCTTAGCCCTGGCTGCCAGTAATAATGAAGTCTTCCAGAAAAGGCCAGTGTTGCTTAGTGTTGTCTTGGAGAGCACACAAAGTAACTAAGAAATTCTTTAATTGGTTTGTCTTGCTACTGAAGACTAGTAGCCCTCCCCCTGACTGAGGGTCATTCCTACTTGAGGAGGGAGGTACAGACATGTGACCAGTGACACCCTTAAAAGTACTAGTTTGAGACTGAGAAAAGGGAACAAGAATTGGTAAGCTTCCTGCTTTTCTCCCTTCCTAATTTTCAAAGCAGCCTTCATTCCTGGGCTGACCCGCTCTGGGACTGCCAAGGGTAGTGCTGGACTAAGTGCAGGTTGCAGCTAAAGCGACCCAGAGAAAGCTGCATTGAGAAGCAGAAGAACTACTTGTTTTTTTCTTGTCTTTCCTGCTACAGACTGACTTTCTGCTACTGGGCAAATAAACTTACCAGCTTTTTGTTTCTCATCCATAAAATCTGGGGTTGGTGTAAATTATCTCTAAAATCACTTGTAGTTCTAACAATCTGTGATGTTACAAATAAATTAGATTTGGCAGAATTATTATAGGCCACCTGGTGTGTACTAAGAAGGTCATTGTGAAATGCTGTTAAGATAAAATAATAACTAGATATGTCTTTCTGTAGAATATTAGCTCGTATGTATTTCTGCTGTTTGAGTACTTCATCTAATTTACACATTTTAGATGATTACTGAGACTTGGATTTTCAAAGTACAATCATTAATTAGCTTCTTGAATGAGTTCTGGAAGGAAGACTAACCCATGATCCCATTACATAGGCTTATTTGTTCTCGTTCTATAAAGTTGTCTTACACTTCTCAGTTTGGTGTTATCTGTCAATTAAAAAAATAAGTTATAGTTGAACAGTTCATTTGATTCAACTAATCCCTGTTGCCTCAATTAATTCCAATAATGCACAGATGAACCATATATATATATATATGTTTATACTGCTATATTGCTATATTACCATTTAAATACAAAACAATAAAGACACATAAGAAGTTATTTTTTTTTTTTAGTCAGAGAGTATATAATGTTTTTATTTACCAATAAATGCATTTAACAAACACATATGCCAGACACTGAGCACAAAGGGTATGGCAACAACCAGTAGGCTTTACTGTCATAGAATTTAAGTGCTAGTGGGTTAAGAAGACAATAAACAAATTTACAAATTAACAGCTATAAGGGTGTTACTATTTTATCTGTCATTTTCTATTTCTTGTAGAAATATACACTCACATTTCATATATGGACATTGTATCCAGTGACCTTATTAAATTCACTTATTATTTCAAATTGTTTGCCAATAGATTCTTTTGGGGTTTGATGTACACAACTACATTATTCATGAATTACAGTGGAACTCTTCCTATTCCACGCCTTTTCTCTTTCTCCTTTATTACAATGACTAAAGCATCTAATACCACGTAATACAAGTAGTAAGCACATCTATGTTCTTGTTTCATTCTTCATGTCAGGAGGGAAACGTTCAATAATTTACCTTAAGTATAAAGAAAAAAAAAACAAAATTTTTTCAACAGATGCCCTTTATCAGGTCGAGGATGTTCCTTAATTTTCCAAGAATTTTTTTTTCATCATGATGGCCTGTTGTATTTTATCAAATGAATTTCCTGCAAAGTACCAAGATGATTATGATTTTCCTCCTTTTTTTCCTATTATTCTGGCAAATTCCATTGAGCGCCCCCCAGTTAACACCTACCCTTTCACTCTATAATAAACCTCACTTAGTCATAATTATCCTTTTTATATACCACCTGATTCAGTTTGCTAATTTTCTATTTTAGAATTTTACACCTATGTTCATAAAAGTTTGCTAAACCAGTCTTTTAAAGTGACATTTCTCCCCTTCTCATTGCAGAATGCTTTTGAAAACCAGAAATTATACCATCAGAAGTGTGCTCTTGAGTATTTACTTCGTAGTACATAGAATGGAGAATGGATTAATGTAGAAGGTGGATGGTAAAGGATTGGGAGGCTCCTGGAGTATTAAGGAGACCCTGAACTAGTTTGGAACAAGTGAAAATGGAAAAGAATAGACTTTTCATTATTGAGCTCTGGCTTAGATGAAAGTGTAGCATTGTGAAATTGAGAAGTTAGAACTTGATTTGAAGCTTGGCGAAGAGTAAAAACAGTGACTTGAGTTGGGGTGAAATCCTTATCTTCACCATAATTATCACCATCATTAATATCCATACAAAGGAATGACTGTAGTTTAAGAAATTGTAAATGCATAATAGTAACTTTATGTCTTTAACTTGCAAGTTTTCTTACCTCGCTTTGGAGTCCATTTAAACTATTGCTTCCATTCACAATCAGAAAAACAGTAGATAATCTTGTATTCCTTGAACACGTCAAAATGGGCTACAGACTTTTATCAATAGAACGCATTTCAATCAATACAGATTGCGCTGTTCCTTTTTTTTTTTTTTTGAAGATTTATTTATTTATGCACACAAGAACTGGAGTACAGGCCAGAGATGTGGGAGTTGAGAGGATTCCCCAGAGACAAGAGTGGGGAACAAAACAGGCGGATTGACTGAAAGTCACTGCTGAGGGGAGCAGCGGGCGAATCGGGAGAGAACTGCAACGCCATGTGGGTAGCTTCCTAGCCGGGGACTCGAACCCGTGCTACAGAGGCTGCGGATTAGCTTCATAAATTGCGTCTTAACCCCTTGCGCCATCAGGGAGGCCCCTCGCGCTGTTCCTTTTATAACCACCAAGTGGCGCCTGAGAGCCCATCTCGCACTCCTGCCCATCCCGGGAGCGCCGCGCATCCCGGGAGCGCGCACGATAGCGGGCCCGCGCAGAGTCAGGCCTCGCGGCCGCGCACGCCCATCAGCTCCGCTGACGCAGCCGCTGGTGGGCCCGGAACCCGATGCTCCGGACCCATGTGGAAGCTCGTCCCCACCGCGGGCCCGGCCCCAGGTAAGGGCTGGCGGGAGGTGGCTGGAGACCGTATATTCGGGAGCAACTGCCGCGGTCCGAGGGTCTGCGGGGCGATGCTTCCGGTCCGGTCTCGTCCCTCTCCTCTCCTTCCGGTGCCGCCTTCCTTCCCGGCCCGCGAGGCGGTGGGACCCGGGTGGGAAGCCGAGGATCTAGAGCGTGGGCACCGCGTGGGCTTCCGGCGCGTGCGCGCGGCGCCTCCTGGGCGTGGGCGGTCGGGTCGCTGTGACGCTGGGTGCCTTCCCCAGTGGTCGGCCCGCTTGGGACCCTGCGCGGGCGAGACCGGACCGAACTGGGCGTGGCGGCCTGCCCAGCAGAGCCGTGGCCCACCCCTAGTTGTGATACCCGGGGTCTTAAACTTGTGGAAACTTAGTATCAGGCATCGCGGGCTAGCCCGCACGGCGGCAGCAGATGGCTGTCTCCAGACGCCGCCTGTTTGTGTGAACAGCCACAGAGATGACTTGGATAAATGGCAACCACGAGAAATGATTTCACTGCGTTTATCCACTTTGGGCTCAGAACACCCCCCACCACCTCACCCCCATAGTAGCATTTTTGTTTTGTTTTCTGCATTTCCGGCGGTGGAACGTGGTTATCTCCTTTTAATTGGCCGCCCAGTGTTGTCAGTCCCTGTTGGTAGAAGGCCGTAGCCTATGACTGAGGCGTGCCCTGCAGGAAGTTTACTTTATCGTGGGGCATAAAAGATCTATCTAGAGGCAAAATTGACCGTGTGAGAGGATGGAGAAGGCTAAACGAATGGTAGGGGAAATGGGTGCTATAGAGACTCAAAGATCAGAGCATCTCTGTGGACCCGGAGCAGTGCAGAGGTAGAGCAAACTAGCCAAGGAGGATTCTGTTGCTTTGGAAGATCAGTTTGAGCCAGTGACTGTCTGACTTATCGTAGAGTGATCGCAGAAAAAAGATGCTTCAGGGGCCTCCCCGGTGGCCCAAGGGGTTAAGATGCAACCTGTGAAGCTATCCGCAGCCTCTGCAGCATGAGTTCCATCCCAGGTCAGGGAGTAACCCATATGGTGCAGCAGACCTCTCCTGTCTCGCCTGCTGTCCCCTCAGCAGTGTATTTCGGTCAATCTGCCTGTTCTGTTCCCCACTCTGTCTCTGGTGAATCCTCTCACACACACACACCCCACCTCCGGCCTGTACCCCAGCTCTTGTATGCATAAATAAATCTTAAAAAAAAAAAAAAGAAATTTCTAGCATCAATGGCTGGCATTCTTAACTTTGGGGAGAGATACTGAATCAGAATCAAATGGAAACCATGGGCCAATTCCTCTTAAAAACAAACAAAAACCAGAAACATTTTTCCTAACAGTCTACTCTAAGAATCTCTGATATGTTAAAATATAACCCAAACCTGGTTAAGGCTTACCCGACTCTTTCCTGCTTGTATGGATTTTCTTTTCTAATCACTCTGTTATAGGACAGCCCCGATATTGAACGGGTTGCCTGGCTGTGGGTCCTCACCCGCGCGCTTAAAAGGGACATCCTTTTCCCCCTAACAACTCCACCATTCCTGTAATGGAATCATGTCTCCAATCTATGTGCTATTCCAACAATATATGATTTCCAATATTCTTTAAAAAATAGCCCTTACCCATTGATGTGAAATGCTACCTTTGATTGAAAATATACATTAGAATTTGTTCTGCACTTTTCCTGAATTGATCTATCTTTTTTATTCCTGACCCAATACCATACTTTTTAATAACCTGTAGTTTTATGTCATTTTACCATCTGGTACAGGAAGTACCCATAATATTCAAATTTCTCTTGACAGTTTTTTTAACATTCATATTTCTGATGCATTTTTAAAATTCATTGACTAAGTTCCAAATAGACTAATGTGATTTTGTTTGGTAAGGCATTAAAATGATAATTGGGGTGATCATTGACTCTTTTCAATATTCTTTTCACTTTAGAAAAACATAATATTTTACCTCTCATTAGATAATCTTATGTGTTCTCCAGTGAGGCTTATTAGAAAAAAAAGTTAAATTTATAAAAATCCATTATTAACATTTAAATAGTTAAATAAAAAGATTTTCTCTAAATGTTCGTCATACCTTTATCATATATACATTTATATCCATGTGTGTATCAATTTGCTGTTTTTTCTTTTTTAAATTCTCTTAGAGCCGTACAGACTTTTGACTGGTGTTGATTACTTAGTTGGAAGAAAAAACTGTAACATTCTAATTGAAGATGATAAGTCAATCAGTAGAGATCATGCTGTGTTAACTGCAAATTTTTCGGTCAACAACCTGGTAGGTTGCAGATTTTATTTCACTAGATTATAGTCAGGTGTTTGAAATAAAAAAGATTATTTTAGGGATATCTAAGTGGGTTCATAGGACTTTCCAGTTCTTAAGTCTGGTTTTTTAAAATGTTAATAAGATTAAATACTTATTTTGGTAGCAATGGCTTTGTTTATGTTGAAATTTTAAATTTCTTCTTCATTTTTTTAACGTTTTAGTGATTTACCAGCTCATAGGAATTATAACATATTTGTATTTATTCACTTGAACACTTACTGCTTACTATGTGTCAACCTCAGTATTAAACCTGGCAATAGACCAGTAAATAGACCATTATGACTCCTGCACTAAAGAGCTTTATATAGCCTTGTGAACAGAAGTATTTCCCTTATAACATAGGTTGTCACAATGGGAATTGATTTGTTTTACCAGGGAATACAGCTGTTGTTTGGTTGGCTGTGCACAGCTCCTCTAAAATGCTTTTGAATTTATTTTGTTCATTTGTTAATTTTAATCAGAATCATTGATGATAAAAGTAATACAAATGTATACAAATAACTGTACTCAGAATGGTGCCAGTGGTAATAAGAAAAGTCATTATTTTGAACAAAGACTGCATATCAGCAAATGCTGGATCTGTTAAGTGATACTTAGGTTTTATTTACACATTCTTAAAGGTATAGAAAAACAGTGCTGAAATTCCTAAAGAAAAATTAAAATTGTCAGCCGCTCCAGTCTTTCTAATTAAATCAGTTTTTATTATGTGATCGTGATGTTAAAAAAAAAAGCTTCCTAACAAAGTTATCAATTATGCACGATATAGGCTGTACAAATATTAATTATCTGCTATGTGAAATTGAGGGGCAGAAAACCTCCACTGACTTACAAAAATAAAGAAAATGTATTTTCTAAGGGGAATGATCCTGAAATTTAGACATTTTCCATTAATTGTTAATTGAGTGATTATTCTTTTCAGGCAACCAGAACAATTGACTCCATGACTTATTGTGCTGGGAAGTTAACCACTTATTTATTGCCTAATCAAAAAGTTAGCAACATGTGCTTCTGAAACCTTTTCCATTAGGAAATGTATTTACTGTGTTATAAAATACTTTTATTATTTTTTTTCCAGAGTCAATCAGATGAAATTCCTGTGTTAACAATAAAAGATAATTCCAAGTATGGTACCTTTGTTAATGAGGAAAAAATGCAGAATGGCCTTACACGCACTTTAAAGACAGGGGATAGAGTTACTTTTGGAGTGTTTGAAAGTAAATTCAGGTAAGAATTGAATTGATGTTAAAAGTAAACAACTTTACTTTTGAACTAATCAAATTCTAAAAGGCAAGGATATTAATGAATAATGAAGACCATCTAATTCCTCTGCTACTTAGTCCTGAGAACCTTGACAGGAGCTACATTTGTTTGATTCTAACTAGGTGAAAGTAATGTTAACCTTGATCATCGTTTTTTCTTGATTGCAATTCAAGACTTAGGAAATGATCATTTCATCAGTCAGGAAGTTTTATAATACATACATATTAAAGTTAATACTTGGTATTAACTTTTCTGCTGTTGGTCTGTTGATTTCCTCAGATGTGACCTGTATATTCAAAATTGCTGGACACCAGCAGGAAAGGTGATGCAGTTTGGGCAAAAAAAAGAAGCTACAGAACAGATGTGGTCATGAAAATGCCATAAATGGGGTGGCAGTGGGGATGCATTTTAATAAACTAAATAAATGTTACAGTATTTTAAAGTAACACCATGTGACATGAGTTTCAAGTTTAAAGTACTCTAAGTTGCTAAATCCATAACTATGGTGACATAACTTTATGTGCCTTATTCTCATTTACAGAGTAGAGTATGAGCCTTTGGTCACGTGTTCTTCTTGTTTAGATGTCTCTGGGAAAACTGCCTTAAGTCAAGCTGTATTACAGCTTGGAGGACTTAATGTAAATAATTGGACAGAAGAATGTACGCACCTTGTCATGGTATCAGTTAAAGTTACCATTAAAGTAGGTAATGCCTTGTTACATTGAAATAAGTTCTGGATATTTAAGCTTATTTACCCATTAAAGTAATTTACTTTAAAACTATCAGAACTGCTAATTGTAGATATATGCGTGTGTATATATCTATGTGTATGTGTGTGTATGTGCCACATACACGTATATATGCCAAACCCATACCTTTGTAAACCATTCAGATTAAAATGGCTTTTCACATAACCTGCCAAAGCACATAAAATTGTATTTTTGTATTTTTGTTGTAGCATTTAAAAAAAAAAATTAAATTTCTGTACTTGGAATATTTCTTAGAATTATATTGAGTCTTCTTGGTTTTCATTTTCACTGCCAATGCTAGTGTTTTCTGTTCTCAAGCTTTGTCACTCTGTCTTTTTTGAGGCTTGTAGATTTTTAATTCACTTTTCCTTGAAGGCCTTCCATATATGTTCTTATTTTGAACTTTTACCCAACCTCATATAGTTCCTTCTTTTTTTAAATTTTAATTTTTTTAAGACAGTTTATTTTTATTTTTATTTTTTTTAAACATTTATTTATTTATTTATACAAGCACTGGATACAGTCAGAAGCACGGGAGGGTGAGAGAATTCACCAGAGCCAGAGCGGGGAGCAGAGCAGGAAGAAGGACTGAAGTACACTGCTGGAGGGAGCAAAGGGCAGCAGGAGAGGTCTGCGCACCATGTGGGAACCTCCTCCGGTGGCCGGGGAGCAGCTGGTGATTGAACCAGTGCTACAGAGGCTACGGGCAGCTTCGCAACCCAGCGCTCAACCGCTGCGCCACCGGGGAGGCCCCTCATATAGTTACTTCTTTATTTACTTTCTTGAATGAACTTTATTCCATAGTTGAAATATGTTCAAAAGGCAATTAGGCAGAAAAGATCTTGTCTCTCTCGCTTATGGCTTCACATTTGTCTTTTATGAACCACATGTTATGTTTCCTCAATTCTAAGATACATGTTTTAACATTTTTGGAGTACATTCTTCAACTGACTCGTGTTTTATTTTATGTTGTTCTATTCTACCCCACCTCAAGCAGTTTTCAATTTAATATTATAATCAGTGACTTCTTATAATTGATCATATAAGGATCTGTATACTAAAACTAAGCAGAAACCAAATATTAACTTTATTTTTATAGATTGTGACTTCTTTGTAAATGTAGAGAGATCAGTCAGATGGAAAAAAAACCACAGTAAAACAGCCTTTTTATAATCCATAACTTAAAACTTTTAAAAAGAAAATTACATTTAAATATATATATTCACCTATATTTTCCTCTTTTTAGACTATATGTGCACTCATTTGCGGACGTCCAATAGTTAAGCCGGAATATTTTACTGAATATGTTAAAGCAATTCAGTCCAAGAAACAGGCTCCACAAATTGAAAGGTATATCGTGTATTTTCAATGTAATATGATATGTAACAATATATGATAGCACTGATTTTATTTAGGTTAATTTCCTCTTTAGTGACTATTTCAGGATAGTCATTAAGTTATACTTCAGTTTAATGAAGTTTTTTGTTGTGGTATAGTTCAGGATATTATAGTTTAGTTTAATGAAGTTTTTTGTTGTAGTTGAAAGGTTCTCCATATTTTTTGTTTGTTTGTTTCTTATCTGTGAAATGAATGTTACACGATGCGCCAGCATTTAAAGAAAAAAAATGAAAGACAGTGGTACAGAGGTACAGTACAAAGTACACTTGCCTATGGGGCTCCTGGAATTGTGTGATGCAGCAACCACATTCCAGAGCCAAATAGTTCCAGGCCATATTTTAACAGCACTGTGGCCTTGAGCATGGAGCTCATGGCTTCTAAGTGTTGCTTACCTCCTTTGGGAAAGTGAGACTAATATTTTTCCTACTGATTCTTTAAGTATTCAATGCAGGTATTAGTTATTTTAAGTAATAATCTATCCAAATTTTGAGTACATTGTCTAGCATCGTAGTAGAATTTTATAAAGAAGTGTTGCTAATTGCAGCAGTATCTAGAAAGATTCATAATTATCTACTGTATGTTGAGGAGGAATACACCTGGACTTTTTTTTATTACCTTATAAGCTGTGTTGCCCAATGTAGGGTGTTGTAGGGCCTGTATTATATATTTGATGTTTGTCTGCTTTTAAAAGTAAATGAAAATCAAATCAGTAGCTGACTGGATAATTCAAACCAAGTCGTGCTAAAAGTCAGTGCTAAATTTAACACTAAAATCAATGAAATATCAAGCCATAAAAAGATATGGAAGTAACTTAAAGGCATAGTAAGTGAAAGAAGCCATTCTTAAAAGCTACATACTGTATTATTCCAACTATATGACATTCTAGAGAAGGTATCCACAAAATAACTAGCTGGGAGCTTTATTGCAGTTGCATTTAGTCTATAGATCAAATTGGGAAGAACTGACATCCTGATGATATTGAATCTTCTTATCCATAGACATTAGTAATATTTCATAAGGTGGTAGATATGCTGAAAGGTTGGTCAGTTAAAGAATAGCTATAGTAAGAGATCTGATAATAGAGAAAGTTGACACTATGGATTAATGAATTAGCTCTTGATTTCATTTCTCTGTTAATTTCCCCATTTCTGTCGATGATGGTTATGTTTTTATAGCAGTATGTTAATGAGCTGGAAGATTGTTTTTCAATCTCACATTAGATATTTTATTTAGACTGACAAAATTAAGTAATTTAAAATATTTTGAGCTCCTTCAAAGAGACTTATAACAAATACTTGAAGTAGTAAGTTATAGAATTGGAACATTAGTTCCCAGGGACACACAAGGTGCCATCTCTTCTTTAGGAACAATTCTCTCAACCTTTTGTAAGTAATTGATTCATACAGAATTGTATCTTGTTATGAGTATCTATCTGTGGAATATATATTAGAAAATAAAGAAAAGTTCTGCTGTTCTGTGTGTCACCCATTATCATATTTCTAGAAAAAAGAATTTAGGTTTTTTTTTTAATAATTTGTTACAGATCAAACTCTTTCAAAACATTCAGTGACATTGAGAATTATGCCTTTCTTGTGTCTACATAGCAGTGCCATTTACAAGTTTAATTGTGTAGCTACAAAGTAGCATATAATTAGAAAATTTTAAATATTTTTTACAGTTTTTACCCAGCTATTGATGAACCAACTATTGGAAGTAAAAATATTGATCTGTCAAAACGAAAGGAAAGAAGACAAATCTTTAAAGGAAAAACATTTATATTTCTAAATGTCAAACAGGTAATATTATAAACTAAATTGTGCTAAAGAAAACATCACAATGTAGGATAAATTATTACTGTCATCAGTGGTTATTAATGAACTTCCTTTTGAGATTTTGTGTAGAAGTGTGAAGTACAGTAAACTACCCAGGCATCAGAACCTGCCTGTTGTTCATGATATGTGATTCTATTTCATAATATCTATTAGTTAAGCTTATATAAACATGTAAGTGGTGGGTGATGGGGAGAGAAAACTTCTGTTTAAATTCTGTGCTGTTCAGTTAGTAAACAGCTGTTGAATGTCTTCTGTATTCCAAAATGAGGGTTTTAGTAGTTTATGTTGTACATAGAAAAATCAGGAGAGTAAACCTCGTTACAGAACTATGTGGTAATCATGCCAGGACTGCAGCAGTACCTGGCAAATTACAGATCTGCTGAATGGAAGTCTAGGTTGTCCTGTCAAGAACTAGAACCAGTTCTATGTTATTTCTACTTTTATTTTACTTCACAAGTCAAATTCTTAAAATTATATAATGTATTCAATAAATTAATTTTGGCAGTTTCATTCCTTTTTTTTCTCTCGAAGCATAAAAAACTAAGTTCAGCCATTATTTTTGGAGGAGGAAATGCTAGATTGATAACAGAAGAAAATGAAGAAGAAGATAGTTTCTTTTCAACTCCTGGAACTTGTGTTGTTGATGTAGGAGTAACAAACTCACAAACCTTACTTCTTGACCCTCAGAAAAAGTGGATTCATTCAATTATGGATATGCTCCAAAGGTAGAGAATTATTCATTCATAATAAATGCAAGTAGATAATTTTATATGTAATTTTAAGGTTTTCTTTAAAAGAAAGAAATGTAGCAGTTGAGAAAGTTAAAAACTCAAATGAAATTGCCTGAAACAATTAAAATGGCAATAAAAATTTGTGCACCTCTTATACATGCTGTTAAGGATAATGAGGGGGGATGTCAGATAGCTTAGTGTTTATGGTGCAGGAGAGTGAAAACTAAATTAATATTTTTTTCTTAGACTCTTCATTGGTATTAATAATCTTAGCAGTGTTGAAGCCGAGAAGTATTGTAAAAATAGCCAGGCTTGGCAGTCTTTTGACTAAAATCTGTTCACCCAGCAAATAGTAGGTAGGACATACAATATTTATCTGCCTGAAAAGTTCATAGATGTACATTTTCTTACCTTAGCAACTCCATAATTCATACCATGCCCACCACCAAATAAATGTTCATTCTCCATCCACCACCAAATAATTGACCTCCTCTGGTCACTCATTCTGTTTTCAGAATCTAAGGGTTTGCTTTTGTTTTATTTGTATGCTTTTTGTTTTTTCTTTATATTCCACATGAGGGAAATGTATGTTATTTTTGTTTCTCCTTCTCAAGACAACATGGTCTCAATGGCAAAATTTCATCTTTTTTATGGAAAACCCTTTATTATACTAAATGTTAATTACCTTTTCTTTCATTGTCAATGCTTTTACCATTTAAGAAAACATTTTCTATTTATAGATCAAAAAGATAGGCACAATATTTCTTTACTATTATTTTGATGTTTTGTTTTTCATTTCATGTCTGGGATTCTCTTGTATACCAAAGTTCTGTACATGCATAGGAATGGCTTTGACTTCTGTTTCACTTGTTAATATGTTTATCCCTTTCTACATTTACTACATTGCCTTAATTCAACAGTGTTCAATGGAAGTAGTGTTAGTAGCTATTTTATCTCACTGTTGACTTTAAAAGGAATGCTTCCAATATTTCCTCATTTAGTATGATGTAGTTTTTGTATGACATTGTTATTGAATTTTTTAAAATGTTTTTATTTTATATAACCAATCTATAGCCAGTTTACATAGTATATTAAATTTAAGGTTTAAACAAGTTAGTAGGGTAATAGCAATTTTGAGTCGCCTGAAATATAAGTATTAATTATAATACTTTTAAAAATAATTTTTAGTATAAATCATTATAATTATAAATGTATAGTTGAACTGTTTATTTCAACCCAGTACATGCAATGAAACAAATGTTAAGCATTCAAAAAATGCCTTTTGAATTACTACAACCACTTTAAAGAGTTCTACAATAAATATTAAAAGGAGTTTTATGACACTTTCTTAAATCTGAAAGTGTAGTTTCTCTATAGCATTATTCAATTGTCTTTGTTTCATAAACCAGTCATTCACATTACAGAATAACAGAAGATAACTTCATCAGAAGATTTCCTAATATTTGTAAATTGGTAAAATGGTTTGATTTAACAAACTTAAAATTATAATAGCTATAGCTTATATATAGTTCTTATGCTTTTCTTCCTCCTTCCCACGCTCCTCTCTTTTCTCTATTGTTTTATCTTAGTAATCATAGATTTGCCTATACAGGTTATTTTATTGCTTCATCTGGCTGTTATATTTTCTTCTTATCTGAAAATGATAGAATTTTAGAATTGGATCTATATCTTTTACTCTGGATCTTTATTTTACAAAGTGAGATGATTGAGTTACTAAAATGTAGTGGATTTTCCCAATTAACATTGCCCCAATGAGTACCCTTGTACTCTATGTATTTAAAAGTCTCTCCATACTAAAACTGTAATATCTTCTTAGGGAAAAAAAGATAAATTCCTTTTGACAGCACCTTAAAAAAGTTAGTTTTCCTCTCTTGTCATACTAAACTATTTCTTTCTAATAGGCAGGGTCTTAGACCTATTCCTGAAGCAGAAATTGGATTGGCAGTTATTTTCATGACAACAAAGAATTACTGTGATCCTCAGGCCCTTGCCAGTACAGGTAATGAAAACATTAATTCTTTAGCAGCTTCATTGTGTAAGTTGAAAATAAAGTATATGCACCTTACTCTATACTTCTAGGGATGACTCCTTTCACCATCTTTTAACAAACTCAGCTATTTATTCATTTAATAAATATTTGTGAATCTCACTACTGAGCGCTATTCTAAGATCTAAAGACACATTGATGGATAGGGTAAACAAGAGATCTATTATTATGAAGTTTATGTTTTTAAGGTCAGGGTTCAGACAACAGGCAAACAAGGACATCTGATCAGTTCAGTCAGGGCTAAATACAAAGCGTAAACAAAAACAAGGTGATGTGATAGTCACTGGGAACTGGCTATTTTAGGTAAATGGTAAAGTACGGACTCATGCATTTGAGCCTTATGCATCCTAAGTGACTAGAATGTTAGCCATGGATTATCTGGATAGCAGGGAATTCCAGGAAGAAAACACTGATCACAATGTGAGTAGAATGAATTCTAGATTCAAAATGAAAGTGGAGAGAGGAGTAGAAAGCTGTTGTGGAGGTCCAGGTGAGAAAGAGCCTGGTGCCTTGGTCCGGATGATATTAGTGAATATGCAGAAAAGAGAACAGATTTCAGGATATAATTTGAAACTAGATCTAGCAGAACATTTTTTTGTGGAGGATCAAGAAGTAATTCCTACTTTTTTGGGCGGATGAGGATGCATATTATAATCATCATCAAAATTTAGTCTCTAGGGCCTCCCCGGTGGCGCAGCGGTTGAGCGCTGGGTTGCGAAGCTGCCCGCGGCCTCTGCAGTGCCGGTTCGATCCCCTGCTGCTCCCCGGCCACCGGAGGAGGGTCCCACATGGCACGCAGACCTCTCCTGCCACCCACTGCTCCCCTCGGCAGTGTACGTCTGTCCTTCTGCCTGCTCTGCTCCCTGCTCTGGCTCTGGTGAATTCTCTCACCCTCCCGCGCTTCTGACTGTACCCAGTGCTTGTATAAATAAATTAAAAAATCTTTAAAAAAAAAAAAAGGGGGGCCTCCCCAGTGGCACAGCGGTTGAGCGCTGGGTTGCGAAGCTGCCCACGGCCTCTGTGGCGCCGGTTCGATCCCCGGCTGCTCCCCGGCCACTGGAGGAGGGTCCCGCATGGCGCGCAGACCTCTCCTGCCGCCCGCTGCTCCCCTCAGCAGTGTACTTCGGTCCTTCTGCCTGCTCTGCTCCCTGCTCTGGCTCTGGTGAATTCTCTCACCTTCCCGCACTTCTGACTGTACCCAGTGCATGTATAAACAAACAAACAAACAAATAAATAAATAAACAAGCCTCTATAAAAAAAAAAAAAGATAAAATTAAAAAAAAAAATTTAGTCTCTAAAATAATCCAGTTTAATTAGATGGGTGATATTTGCGTTTTATAGATTGTGAGAACTGGGGTACAGAAAGGTTAAGAAATTAGACAAAAATCACATAGCAAGTATTGTGATTCAGAATGACTTTTAAGTTAGGACATACTACATTGCTGATGGTATATATGTAAGGTTTTGAGAAATGATGAGGGTGTGAGAAATGATGAGAGATAATAGATATCTGATATGCTTTGTCAGACTTGTGTTTATTATTTGATAAGATGATTTATTCACTAGTTATATATACTTTCCTCCACTGAGTACACTATGGCGGAGGACTCCGGGTGCTTTGATGGTAGAAAAACTATGATGACCACAACTGAGCAGAGAAATCTTATATTGTGAAAAAATAAACATGGTTGTTTAAAAAAAAAAACTAAAAAATAAAACTCTCCAAGTCAGAATTGTTTTCTATACCCCTATACCTTTTATTATTTATTTTCTTGCATTTCAGTTAGACTTTCTTCTTACTTTGAAATATAATTAATTGTTTCCATGCCTCTTTCAGCCACTAGATTGATTATAGGCTGTTACTAAGTTTTGAATACCCTGATATCAGGGAAATTACAGATTATTTCATGTCTTTATATTAAAAGGTAAGAGATCTCAAGGAGAAAAGCCAAATCTCCACAAACAATTTATGGCCAAGCCAATCCTAAAATTTGAGTTTTCTGACCACTAAACCAGTTAGTATCTTTTTTGTTTTATTATTTCATGTAGAAACAGGTCATAAGGATGGAGTTATAATTAGTAGTAGCATTTTTGGCATTCACAGGTAGTTATATGGATTCCAAGTCATACATATCTAACTGTCCGCACAATTTGGGGTAACAGAGTGAATGCATATTTCCTACTGTCCCTTTTCCCCTTTTCTTTCCTCTTTCTCCATATTCATTTATTTATTTCAACAAGTATTTATTAAGCTTTTGTTTAAACATTTGGAATAAAGAAATGAGCGGGTCAGACTAAATCCCTGCCCTCATGGTTTTTTTTAGTTAGAAAGTTGTAAATAATCTTATTGTTGACAAACTATAGTTGTTCTGGGTCATTAGATTCTATATGCATTTATAATTATTTTTCCTATAAGTTTGTGCAAGCTAAAATAAATTGTATCAATAGATATACATGTTTTTAAGGAAATGCCAGTGAGCTTTTAAGGAGGTTGTTAAAGAGAATGACAGAAAACATTTAAGTGCCTGAATTTGGAATCAGTAATAAACATTCTTAAGCATGTGCTGTTCATGAGGTCCTAACAGTGATTATTTAGCCTAGCTACTCAATAAATGTCAGCTTTTAAAAATTTTCAGTTAACAATTTAAATTCATTAGCTTATTTATATCCACCATATACCAAACATTGCTCTAGTGTCCAGATACAGCAATGAACAAGACCTTTTATCTCTATACTCAAGGAGATTCCAAGTCTCCTAAGGAAAGTAACAAGTAAACAAGTACGGTGCAAAGTGATGATAATAACAGCTAACATTTGCATAGTGCTTACTATGTTCTAAGCATTTTTCTTAGTGCTATTTATATATCAGTTCATTTTGTTCTCAGAACAACTTGTGAGGAAAGTATTATAATTATTCTCATTCTACAGATGAGAAAACTAAAGCATAGAAAAGTTAAATTACTTAACAAAGATCACACAGCTGGTGATATGGGTGCTGAAAGTTAATAGAGCGATGTAAAGGGTAGTACAGAAGCTAAGATGAAGGGCACTTAGTGCAGTGTGGAAGGTTCAAGAAAACTATGTCAGAAGAGCGGCACCTAAATTAAGCTGCTATTCTAATAAATAAGATGATGAAACAATCAATGTGGTTTTCTGGAGTAGCCCAAAAATTTATGTCTGAAATGATTTTTGTATATGTCTTCTTTTAGTATATTCTTTAGAAAAATGAAACTCACATTGATTTTTATTGATGTAGACAGGACAATAGATATACTTTGTGTAGGGAAGAAATGTAATTTTTTGGTCTGCTGATTTAAAGTATAATTTGAGTTAGAATTTAAGCTCATTTTAATTTTGTTTCTTTGTTTTATTCAATGGGTTACCATGAAAGATTTGCTATAACTCAAAATGATTTAATTTATATAAGCATCTTTTCATTTGTGTGATTTCAGAATTGAAGACAACTCCAGGGCCAAGCATTTCCCAAGACTTTTCAGTCAATGAGAAATTAATGCCAAGTGACCCAATGAATATTAAAACATATATAGCTGACACAGAATCAGAGCAAGCAGATACATGGTAAACAAACTATTGTTCATTTGGTACAAGCAATAGTTTGATAGCAGATTGTTGTTGTTCTATCAATAGTGTATTCATGAAGTAAAATCAGGCCATTATCAGGTCATCTCTTAGAGTTAGAACATGAGACAATTACAAGGAAAACAATATTTTAGGGCAAGGGTCAGCAAATGTTCTATAAAGGACCAGAGAGTTTGAATAAATTTGTTGGTATTATGTGATGTTGCCTGTATTTGAATCATAATTTTGGAAACACTTTATATGTGTCTACTTGGATATCTAAATAGGTAATAGTTAATATTTTTTCATAAAGATAGTGATTCACTACTTGTGGAGTTTCTGTTTTTTGATTTTTTTTTTTTTTTTTTTGGAGAGCAGGGATACCTCTTTTGTGTTTTATGCTATTTTTCATTGAAGACTGTGTACTTTATTTTAAATATTCCATAAGAATCTGTTCATATTGAAAGTCGCTTATAATGTCTCTGCATTAGGCCATATTTACATTTTTACTATATGCATATTGAGACCAGATACAACTTTTTAAAAAGCAACTGAATGTTTTGAAAGTCATTTGAACTACAGCTTTATTTTTCGTGTGTGACATAATAGGAAAAGCAGTATACATTCAGCCATACATTGTAGAACTGTGTGTATGTGTGTTTTTAAAATATTTTTCTGGTAATGCAGAATTTTTTTGTAATGTAGACACTGTCATTTGGCTGGAATATAACCTTAATCAATTCATCTAAAATGATTAATATCCTATTATATATGATACTAGAAAGATGGGAGTTTATACTTTTTCTGGATTTTTCACTTTTACTCATCTTTTTGCATGGAAATAATTTTAAACACATCAAAAAAGACCTAGAATTAATTTTATAATAGGATGCTAACTTGATACTTTATGTGTGTCTGGTAGTTCTGTGAGCATGCCTGACATATGGTACAGACAGTACAGAAGAGAAAGGTAGCATCCATCTTCATCCAGGCATCCATCTTCAGGGAGCTTTGATTACATAGGTGCTACTTTATTGGGATAGTAAAATATATTGACTTAATTATTATCTCGAAGTTAAATTTGTTCTAAAGCAATATTAGTATACTCATTAAGAGACTTTCTTTACAGATAAAAATGATTATAAACTGATTGTTTACCTTGCTTGCTTTTCTTCTACAGTATGGATTTGAGTGAAAGACCAAAAGATACCAAAATAACCAAAATGGAACAGAAATTCAGATTGCTTTCACAAGAGGCATCTACTGTGAAGGAACCTCCCAAAATAGGCTCCAGTAATAATAATGTATCAAATTCTATGCTTAGGGTGAAAACCCCTGATTATCAGCTTTCACCTACTAAATTATCAGGTGTGAATAAAAGTCAAGGTCGGGCTTCTCAACATCAGCAGACCAACTCAATAAAAAACTACTTTCAGCCATCCACCAAAAAAAGGTACATTTTTAATAATTATACTCTGTAGCTGTGAAAGCCATGGCCCTTTGACCCCATTCCCTATTAAAATATCTAAACATCCATATTCACTGAAGTCATAGAGAGATCCTCCCTCACCTTTTTTCTTCGATACCTCAGCTTATCTGTTCTTTGATTTACCACTCTTCTGTTAAAGAACTTTTCCATACCTGAGTTTTTCAGTCTGTTTCCTAGGTCAACTTTTATTTCGTCTAGACTATGCACCATCAATTATTGTTTCAATATCTAGCACCTTCAATAGCTGTCCTAGGTCCTTTCTTCTGTACTCAAAACCTGTGTCCTACTTTTAGGACAAGATTTTTATCAAAGTCTTCCCTGATTTGGTTTCTTCCTCAGCCTGCTGCATTTTTGTGTTCTACAATCAATGTCAAACTTCTAAAAAAAAAAAGAGATCATTGTTATTGTTTGCATTTCTTCATGAACTTAACTATCAATATTTCATCTTGAAATGACATCATTAAAATTTACTTTTGACAGATTTGCGAAATCTACTGCCTTTTGGTAGCATTGAACACCTGAGCTTTTCCTCTCCTCATGATTTCTTTTGCTTTTGTGGTAGTGGTTTTATCCTGTGTCTTTTGCCTCTCTGACTTCCCCACTGACCCCTTTGAGGACTTCTTTTCCTCCTTCCTACCTTTTATATTCTGTATATTCTACCTTCAGGGTTACATGATTTTATTGCACATGATCAATATATTGGACCCTAACTTCTTTATGCGTCACTTTTGTTTTTCCACTGGGATTTCCTGCTGCTATCCCAATGAATGTATCTAAATGTATTTAATGAATCTAAAAACTTTTCTCTCACTGAATGTATGTATATTTCTTAGTACTTTACTTTATCATAATCTTTGACTATTTCCTCTCTGCCTCTCCAAAATAATAGTGTTGATTTTTAGTTTAGTGTCTTATATATCCCTCCATTTAAACCTGTTTATGTTGCTGTTTCAAACTCTAAAGTTATTACAAAACCCCTTGAAGGAATGGTATTAGATGGTGATGATGATAATTATTATTATAAAAATATCACCTTGGCTATTTCCATTCAACATGAATCCAGTAAATTCCTGGAAAGAAGACACCCAGTTTTGTGTCCTCTCTATGTCTAAGTACTACTTAAATGAATATTCAGTACTCATTGACTGAATGATACATTATTATATAGAAAACTGTTGTTCATATATTCTTGCATTGCTTGTAGTGTATAATCTCTACTGTATTTTGGGTTTAACCATTCTTACTTTCTTAAATCCAGTTCTCATCCTATCAATTTGTATCTTAGGGTAATTTTCCCCTGTTCACGTATTCCCTAAATTCATTTAGTAAGCAACAGTTCCTTTACATTTTAGCAACAAGTTCTTTGTGTTTTTTTACCTTTTCTTCCATATTACTTTGTCAGCTATTACATTATCAACTATTGCTACTTCCACTGCTATTCCACTTCCATTGCTAATTCCAGAAAGATAGCAATTGCCATATTGTTTGATCAGTCCTGTCAAAACAGTAAAGTGTATAAAAATTATGTACTGTTTTCAAATGCTTACATGTTGATTGCCAATGATATTGCTAATTAATAGAAACAAGAATATTACAAATTAAATGGGAGAAGGGTGGATATTGCCAAATTGAACAATTTAGCTATGTTCATTTTCTTACTTTCTGTTTTCTCCTTTTTTTAAATCTAAGGGAAAGGGAAGAAGAAAATCAAAGAAATTCTTCATCTAAATTAGCAAGAATAGAAATGTCTTGTTCTCTCTTAGAACAAACACAACCTATAACACCCTCAGTATGGAATAATAAGGAACAGCATTTATATCAGAAAGAGCCAGTGGACATAAACTCAGATAACTTATTTACAGAGATAGATGTTGAATCCTCTGTGAAAAATTCTGCCAGTAAATCTCTATCTACTGAAAAGCTAAGATCAGAAAAAAGAAGAGATAGGGATGATTTAGACATAGAGGATGAAGTATTAAAACAGTTATTCAAGAACATGAAACCAGAATTAGAAATTCAAGTGAATGTTCAAAAACAAGAGGAAAATGCCAATATTAAAAAAAGACCAAGATTGGATATAAAAACAAATGGCACTTTTAATGATGAAGCAACACTGGAAAATAACAAAATATCTGTAAGTAACAGGTATAAGAATTTGTTGATATATAAGGTTAATGTTAAAAAATTCAGTGATTTTCTTTGATAGTACAGTCATAATGATGTTTCAGTCAGTATCTGACTGCATATGCCGTGGTGGTCTCAGTATTCCTATTGTCTAGTGATGTCACAGCCATAACTACTTGGGAGTGTTTTACACCAGCAGCAGCCTCATCTCATGTTTACTGTGTCTCTTGATAGCATCATTTTTCCTTCTGTTCGATTTAATATTGTGTTGTTTTATTCATAGTTGCCTCATAGCATACAAAACCACTGTTAGCGTTGCAGTCACAGAAAGAGGAAGTCACCTAACAATGCTTTTCTCAGAATGTATCCCCGTCATTAATTAATTAATTAATTAATTAATTAATTTTTAAAGATTTATTTATGCAAGCACTGGATACAGTCAGAAGCACGGGAGGGTGAGAGAATTCATTAGAGCCAGAGCGGGAAACAGAACAGGCAGACTGACGAAATACACTGCTGAGGGGAGCAGCGGGCCAGCAGAAGAGGTCTGTTGCGCCATGTGGGACCCTCGCTGGTGGCCGGGGATTGAACCGGCGCTGCAGAGGCTGCGGGCAGCTTCACAGCCCAGCGCTCAACTGCTGCACCCAGGGGAGGCCCCATCATTAATTTAAATGACACATGGCTGTATATAATAATGACAACAAATAAAACTGTTACTCATTTCTGCTTTAACAGATTTCTAGATTAGGCTATTGCTATTTCAGCAGGCATTTGGCCATGATGGTAAGTATAGGAGATCCCTTAATAGAGTAAACAGGCATGGAAAGGTGAGAGTTACTAAGGCAAAGTAGCTACTAGATCAATTTTTAAGACAAAATGTGCATAATTTGGTCATAAAAGTCCTTTCCTATTTTATGGATCAGTAACGTGCTGCTATCCGTAAACTAGTTTATTAGGTGAGTACATAGACCTTACGAAGTCAAAATTTAATATTCTGACCTCCACATAGGTCCATTCTTGTTCTTGCTTATTGTCAGCCCTCCTATAAACAAGACCAAGAAAAAGGATAAAGATTAAGTGATTAGAGAGTATAGTGATTCCATATAAGGGTTTGTTGAAAATATAGTGTGTATTAAGCACTACCTAAATCTATAAGTACTATTGAAAAAAACAAAATATATGTCTATTTAGCCTATATTTTGTCATTTTCATATGAGGAACTTGTTTCTTAATTCTTATGAGAGCCCTAAGTGCCCTCCTGTGGACCAGCTGCATCAGAATCATATGGTAAACTTTTAACAACTATGGCAACTACACTAAACCCCCAGAGATCCTGGTTCAGTACTCTAATTTTCTTCCCAGAAATTTCCCTCATTATAAGTATTTAAGCATTCCTTTTTTGCTGTTTTTAACAATTTTAACAGCTAAGTTTTATAGTCTAAATAATGGTATCAGGGAATAGGATTATTTTATTATGTTTTATAATTCTATAGTATAATTTCTTCTAACCTTATTCCTCTGATTCTGAATTCTGCATAAAAATACAGCACAAAATAATTACATTGCAGTAGACTTTCCAAGAATGAATTGTAGTTTGTGGTATCACAAACTTTTGGATATTCCAAAAGTTAAATTACTTTATTCTAGCACCAAACTTTTTATATTGAAAAATTTGTTACAAAAATATTTTTATTTTCAATGTAAAATAATTATTTAAACTTTTTATTCTGAGATAATTGTTGATTTTCATGCAGTTGTAAGAAATTTTACATAGTGATACCATATACACACTTCACCCAAGTTGTCCTAATTGTAATGTCTTGAGTTTCTACTGTCTAAGATCACTACAGGAAATTGACATGATACAATTTGTCAGCCTTACTCAGACAATGTGAGGTTATTTTTAAGTCTTTCATTATTATCATTTTAAGAATTGTCTAAAAGTTCTAGTGGATCTTCATGGATTATACTTATTTTTTTCTAGCTGCAAAAGAGATCATCAGGGAAAAAAATTAGTCCTTTTATATAAAAATATTTACAATTTTAAGAAGGTAAAATTGTGATAACTCTTTTGACCTTGGATTCCTTGGCTGTATTTCAGAAAAGCAATTCCTAAAATATGTTTATGGTAGATGCCATTTTTCTACTTAGGAATTTAAATATAGGTTATAACATCTCTACAGGATTTTCTGTGAACTGAAATATTAGCTAGATATTCCTGCTAAGAGTTCATCCTTATAAAAATTACATTTGTCCCTCAGTCTTGGCCTTACTTTTTTTTTTTTTTAAGATTTATTTATTTATGCATACAAGAGCTGGGGTACAGGCCAGAGGTGGGGAGTGAGAGGATTCACCTGAGACAGAGTGGGGAACAGAACAGGCAGATTAACCGAAGTACACTGCTGAGGGGAGCAGCGGGAGTCAGGAGAGGTCTGCTGCGCCATATGGGCTGCTCCCTGGAGGGGGATCGAACTTGTGCTGCAGTGGCTGCCGACAGTTTCATAAGTTGGATCTTAACCCCTTGCATCGCCAGGGAGGCCCTTGGCCTTACTTTTAACCTCCCAAGTCTTCATAAAATGCATATATGACTTGCCATCCTTGTTAACATGTTTCTCAACAGTATCCAGAGTGTCTACAGAGTATCTTTCCTCACCCCTATTCTACTCTCCTATCTTAAATTAAGGCTTCCGCGTCTTTTAAAACTATAGCATCTTCCAAAACTCTGTAGTCGTAGCTGCCACTAACTGAATAGCATCATTTCGTTAGAGCCACCCTGAGTTCTATGTCCATTGAGCCAATTAGGAAACTGACAGTAGGTGTTAAGTGACTTGCAATGTCATTAAGTTAGAGTTTGACAACTGGGACAGAAACACAGGCCTGTCCTGTCCTTTGGGCCATTCCTTTTGTCAGCTTTCTCAGAGTGTCATTCATTCATTCAGTTATTGTAGGGATTGGACATGCTACCATGAAAGGCTGTCAGAGTAAATTCAGTAGACCCGTAGGAGCTAAACTCTTCAGGTTTTGGTGAAAAACCAATATGAGAGAGAGGAAAGAGTATAAGATAATACCAAAGTATCTGGGTAGGATGTAGTACAATTCTCTGAGATAAGAAATAACAACTTGCTCAAGAGGATGAGCAAGTTTGAGGAAATAGAGTAGGATAAGAAGATGCAGGGAAGTAAAAATGTTCAGATTGCGATAAAACTTTCCAGTGGATGATAAAGTGCTCAGCCTAAGTAAAAAGGTCAATGGTGGGCTTGAAATGTGATTTATTTTTTTTAAAGATTTATTTGTTTATTTATACAAGTACTGAGTACAGTCAAAAGCGTGGGAGGGTGAGAGAATTCACCAGAGCCAGAGCAGGGAACAGAACAGGCAGACGGACGAAATACACTGCTGAGGGGAGCAGTGGGCATGGCAGGAGAGGTCTGCGCGCCATGTAGGACCCTTGCCGGTGGCTGGGGATCGAACTGGCGCTGCAGAGGCTGTAGGCAGCTTCGCAGCCCAGCGCTCAACCACTGCTCCACCAGGGGAGGCCCTTGAAATGTGAATTTTTAATCTTACTTTTGAGAAATAGAAACATTAATTCTCTTAGCCCCCAATTATGCACTAGGTATATTTTGTTTTCTGCTCTTTTTAACCTTTAAAAAAAATGTGAATTTTTTATTAGAATTATTGAAAGAAAATCTGATGTAAAACCACATGTCCTCTACGTATCCAAAAGCATTATAGTTTTTATTTTTTTTAAATATTTATTTATTTATGCATACAAGAGCTCGGGTACAAGCCAGAGGTGCTGGGGGTGAGAGGATTCACCAGAGACAGAGTGGGGGACAAAACAGGCAAATTGACCAAAGTACACTGCTGAGGGGAGTACACCGCAGTGAAGCGAGTCAGGAGAGGTTGCACCATGTGGGTTGCTCCTTGGCCAGCTGGGGATCGAACTCCTGCTGCAGAGGCTGCAGACAGCTTCACAGGCTTCATCTTAACCCCTTGCACCACCAGGGAGGTCTAGTTTTTAATGAAAATATTAGGAAGTCATCCATGCAACATACTTTTATCTAGAGCATGGTCTGGGTATATGAAGTGAAGGATAGCATGATTCTGCAGAAGGCAGTCTTCAGTTTATTGCAGATAAATGTATTGAATGATTAACTTTTTTCTTCCTAAATTAGGGTGATTAAAAATTTAACTCTAAACTTAAGATGGCATCCTATTAAAGTACTTTTATAGTTGACTGTAATATAATATGTTTCTACATGATTATGTAGAAACATGAAAACATAGTAACAATTTGTGGATAATCTACATCTGCATAATCATATATATATAAAAATCTGCCACCTGCAGATAATCATGGTTAATATTCTGCTATCTTTTTTAAATCATATTTTGCAAACTTGGAATCGACTGCTGATGCAATTTTAAAAGCATTTTTTATTTATTTACTTTATGACCCTCATTTTTAAATATTCCTTAATGTATAATTTATATTAACTTAGATTGCTTCTAGTCTTTGCTCATAAAATTTACACTACAATGTCTTTTTCTATATATATATTTCTATTCTCAATTCATATGTCTTTAGGAAAGATATTGAAAGTCAAATAACTTATTCAAGACTATCTTGAGGTTTTCAGAAAGCTATCATTTTGTAACTCCTATGCCAATATTTTTTTCTTTAGGAAGAAAGTGAAATTGGGAAGAAAGGTGAGATCAAGGAAGAATCATTATGGTCAGCTAAAGAAGAATTATCTGTGAGGAAATTTTTATTTAATTTTTACAAAGATTTCAACATTTTATTATTATATTCTTAGGATTAAAATGTTTATATTATTGGTCTATTCCACTATTGTGACTCTTCTGGAAGTAGATAAATCATATTATAACCATGATATAATAAAAAAAGAGTATGGAGAGAAACTGAGTGTTATTCCCTGCTCTCCATAGATGAATATGTGGAATTCTCTTGCTTCTCCATAGATGAATATGTAATAATTGCTTCTAAAGTTAGAGAGGACTTGAATAATTTCCTGGTTTTGAAATATGTCTGATTTGATTCCAAATATGAAGTTCAGGTACCAGAAATTAACCTTTTTTACTATTTTTTCAAGTATTTGATTTCTTTCTATAGACCCTTAAGTGACAAGTAATTTTCCTTTCCTTCTTATTTCTTCTTAACTGTCCATCTTAACCCCACTTAAGAATAATGACAATCTTCAAGAGGATGATGAGATGCTTCCAAAGAAGGTATTACTGACTGAATTTAGATCTCTGGTGGTTCGTAACTCTAACTCCAGCAGTGTATCCAGTGTAAACAAAGATTATGGTCAACTAAAGAATTTTAAGAAATTCAAAAAGGTAAGTATTGCTTTTACTGAAATATCACAAGAGGGCAGTATTTGGAGTGTTTTTTAGAAAACCTAGTGGTGCTAAATAGTAATAAAAGCAGTTTATGTAGAAAACTGATGCTATCTCCTCTGCTTAAAACAGTTTAAAAAATAATCTCGGAAGGACATGAGGTCAGTTAAGAATACATGGAACACCTGGAATGAAAGAATCTTCATTAAAACTGAATTATTAAAGGGTGATGCTTACCCGGTTTTCCTCACATTAAGCTGCAGGCTTTTGCTTGTTTTGATAGGATACTTCCAGTTCTAATACCAATCTGTGACTATCCAAATGGTTCTTTAACTCAGGACTTCATTTGAAGAGAGTTGATTGTATAACTAAGCTTATTCAACAATGAAAACTATATGCATTGTATTATATCATGTATATAGAAAAAACAATGTAAACATGTATGTCAGATCTGAGTTCCTCCTCATTAGGGAACTGGTATTTGTCAGTGGGACACAGTCTGTTTTTTGTTGTCTATTCTGTAATATTTGCTTCTTCCTCCAGACCTGCTACTGACTGCTATAAACTTTGCTTATGCATTTGATCATAGTATAGAATTTTCTTTTTGTAAGATTTATTTATTTATTTATTTATACAAGCACTGGGTATAGTCAGACGCACGGGAGGGTGAGAGAATTCACCAGAGCCAGAGTGGAGAGCAGAACAGGCAGACTGACGAAGTACACTGCTGAGGGGAGCAGCAGGCGGCAGGAGAGGTCTGCGCGCCATGTGGGACCCTCGCCCGGTGGCCGGGGATCGAACCGGCGCTGCAGAGGCTGCGGGCAGCTTCACAACCCAGTGTTCAACCGCTGCGCTACCGGGGAGGCCCAGTGTAGAATTTTTTACAAAAGTAATTTCTGTGGAAGACTGCTCTAGAACATGATCTGTATGATTTTTCTGTGACTATAAGGTGTGATGGCCTTTTCTCTCAAATGTGAACATTTACTATTAATTTTCCTCACTTAAATTACGTGTTTTCTTCCTACTGTGATAGTGTCTAAAGGGCGTTCTAAACTCCATTTATTGGAAGAATCTCTTCTAAGAGTAGAAAATGGAAATATCTCCCACTTATGTAGCACCCATTTACTCTTTCTCACCCCATAACTGTAGCTTATAGAACACTGGTTACTTCATGTTCAATACTATATTACAAAATCTTATTATTAAAGTCACAATTCAAAAGACTTGCTATTTTTTTTCTCACTAATGAAGTTATCAGGAATGGTAAAGAAATATAATACAAACTTTTTGAAAGTAGTTTGAAAAATATCAAAAACCCTAAAAATGTTGATATCCTTCGCCAATGAATTTTTTAGACCATGAAAGAAATTCAAATCACAATGAGTATGAAAAATGTTTAATTGAATTTAATTGAAGAATTTGTGTTTTTCTTTATAAAATATCCAAATCATTGACAGTTCAATAAAATTTCATATACTAAAATTTTTTAAGTATATCGCATAAAAATATATCTCATAAATATTAAGGCTTTTTGCTTACTCTTTAAATATTAGCAGTTTGCTTTGTATGCATTTCTACATAGCACTTTTTAGCACTTTATTTGTAAACAGCTAAAGTTTCAGTTAATATAAACCTATGTTATCTCAACAAACATAATTTGTAAAAAAAAAAAATTAATTAAAGGTATGAACTATTGGGCCTCCCTGATGGTTCAGGGCTTAAGTCACAGCACTATCAAGCTATCACCAGCCGCTGCAGCCTGAGTTCTATCCCCGGCAAGAGAGCTTACCCACCTGGCACAGCAGGCCTCTCATGTCTCACCCACTGCTCCCCTCAGCAGTGTATTTCAGCAGATCTGGCCTGTACTCCAGCTCTTGTATGCATAAATAAATAAATCTTTCTTCCCCAGTTCTTGTATGCATTAAGTAAATAAGTCTTTCCGCCTGTTCTGTTCCCCACTCTGTCTCTAGTAAATCCTGTCGCCTCACACCTCTGGCCTGTACTCCAGCTCTTGTATACATGAATAAATAAATCTTTTTTTTAAAAAAAAAGACTTATTTACTTAATGCATACAAAAACTGGGGTGTAGACCAGAGGTGCGGGGGCAGCGAGAGGATTGACCAGAGACAGAGTGGGGAGCAGAACAGGCAGGTGGACCTGCCTGTATATTGTTGATGGAGCAGCTGGCGAGCTAGGAGAGATCTGCCTCGCCATGTGGCTGCCTCCTGGCCGGCCAGGGGATCAAACTCATGCTGCAGAGGCTGTGGACAGCTTCATAGGTTGCGTCTTAACTCCTTGCGCCACCAGGGAGGCCCAAGTAAATAAATCTTTAAAAAAAATAGGATGAACTATTTCCATCTCTATCATCTCTTGCTGGGGATCTATAACCTGGAAAGTTTTGAAGACTTTAGTTTTTATGAGTACTTATAAAAAGCTTAAACTTCGAAATCCTTAGAACAGAATATAAATTAGTGTATGTGCTGTTTTAATTGTTAGATGATGTGCTAAGACCATTTCTTAATAAAAACTCCAAATTAAAAATCCAAAATTCTTTTTAGTATATGAATCCTAGTGCTATTTCTAAATCCAGTTATAGTAATAGCTAGCAAAGTTTAGGGCAAAAACACAGAATAGTTTGTAATCTGAGAAGCTGTAACTTGAATTACATATGGAACAGGGAAGGTACATCCAGGACAAAAGCCATCACTCACAGCCTTAGAAGCCTCTTACACATACTGTCCTAAGTTCGTTTACTAAGGAGAAGATAGTCTGGCCTAAGAGGAAGCTCAGAGTATTAAATAGGAGAAATAAATAATAATATTAGGGTAAAACCTTTATGAGTCTAGCATAGTTAATTACTTCTCTCTCTTTCATTTGTCAGAAATAAATGTCTTTGGCACTTAGTTATATGTGATTTATAATATTTACTTTTTAAAAAACTTTTAAAAATTATTTTTTTTTAATTTGTTAATACATTTTACCGTACTACTTTTGTATTTAATAGGTCGCATTTCCTGGAGCAGGAAAACTTCCACACATCATTGGAGGATCAGATCTAATAGCGCATCATACTCGGAAGAATGCAGAGTTAGAAGACTGGTTAAGGCAGGAAATGGAGGTCAGTAGAAAGGGAGCCCAGGTAACTTGTTTGATTTGTATTTTGGGCCCTTGTGTTTCCCTTGGAGCAAATTCTTCATAAAATCAAACTTAAATGATTTAGGATTATTTATTCAGGAAAATTCCTGAATTACAAAGCATTAAGATTAATTTGTGCCTTTCCATGACACTTCTTTAAGGGACTTCTAAATTTGTTAGAAAAGTGGGACTTTAAGCAAATGAATTAAGTTTACATCTAACAAAAAAAGGAGAAAAAAATTTAGCCTATAAAAATTTAAAAGGAAACTGGGTCCTGCCTGGTGGCACAAAGGGTTAAGAGGCAGCCTGTGAAGCTGTCCACAGCCTCTTCAGCACCAGTTCTATCTCCGGCCAGCCAGGGAACAACCCACATGGCGCAGCAGACCTCTCTTGCTGCTCCCCTCAGCAGTGTACTTCCATTGATCTGCCTGTTCTGTTCCCTGCTCTGTCTCTGGTGAATCCTTTCACCACCCCACCCCCCACCACCTCTGGCCTGTACCCTTGCTCTTGTATGCATAAATAAATAAATCTTAAAAAAAAATTTAAAAGGAAACTGATTAAAAGGATGGTCATACATTCATATAGAGGCTATTAAAAATATATCAATTACATTGTATATGAATGGATTTTCTAAATCTGGGAATTGTTCAACATTTCTTAGAATATCTTACTCATTATTTTCTTGAATATTATCCTTTTCTTATTTTCTCTGCTTTCTGCTCTAACTCCCATTTGATGTAAGCTCACTTTCTTTTCCACATTGTCTTTCAGTGTTCTATCTGGTTGGCATTCTACCCATCCATTGAGTTTTAATTGAACCTAGTGTATTTTTATTTTATTTTATTTATTTTATTTTTATTTTATTTCTGGAAGGTTGTTCATTCTTTTCTAAATCTTCTGTTCCTTGCTAATGTTTTTAAGTTCTTCTTTTGTGTTCTTTGTCTAATAGTACCAATACCTAAAGTCTTTGTCAATCTGTTTCTTTTCGTTTTCTCTTATGGTACCTTATTTCCAAGTATATGTCTTGTGATCATTGAATGTAAACCTCTCCTTTTCCTTAGAACTTCATCTGTGGAAAATCCTTGAGTCATTAGTTCAGGTTTATTTCCTCCATATAATATATGTTTATCTTTGGTAGTTTTGTCCTACCAATATGAGATCACTTTAATTTCATCTTGTGATTTCTTTTTTTTTTTTTTTAATCACCCAGGTAGTTAATATATATTTGGACTAGAAACTTGAGTGAGAGCCAGCTTGACATTAAAACTTTAAGTGAGATTTTTAATCTCATTCCTTCATCCTGTGCCAGTGTCAAAATAAGCACATTTCTTTGCTGTCTTCTTTTGTGTCATAGGGTTTAGTGCTGGGGTGTTTTATTAGATTCCCCATCTTAGATTTTCTTTCATATCATTCATCCCCCATGCAGACATCAAAACAGAATCTAGGTTTTTTTACTGTTTTCAGATACCCACAGGGCAGGGCAAAAGGTGGCATTGGCACACAGTAACCTTTCAGGGATCTTTCTTTTGCTTTATTTGTGGGCTTAATGTAGTCTTTAGCAATTTATTTTTAAAATTTCTTTTCTAATCCAAAAATTGCTAGAAAGATTATTTTAAAAAGTAGTTGTTAAGAAAATCACTGTGAGATGTAGTTCTCCAAAGCCTTGAAAAATGCCATTTATACAAGGCTTTCTGTTTCTCAATACTATTTTACTTAATGTTTTTACCAAAATGAAAATGTTTTTTCTTTGTTATCTTTGTACCTGAAAATTAGTATTCCCTGCCTGGAAGCATCTAACAATATCAAGGAAAACGATACCAGCAGCTCTTTTACAGTTGGCATATGAAATCATGTTGTGCTATACCTATTAAAAATTACAAAAAGAAATGATATAGTTTCATTTTTACATTCACTGTATAAGTATAAAATCATTCTATAAATTTGAATCTCTACAAGTCTTTCCTCTAAGCCCTTCAAAAGACTCTGAAGCAGTGAGATAGCCAGCTAATAACTGGTGCTCTTGTTCAGTTAGATCCAGTCAAATCCTAGTTTGTCTAGCTTTAGCTCTTCTGCCAGTTATTTAACCTAAGTCTCTATTCACTTACTGGTTAAAACTAGGATAGGGCTTTAATAAAAATAATATATGAAGATTAAATTATATTTTTTAAAAACTGTTTAAGATAGTATCTTGAAGAGCACAAATGTAAATTAAATTATTAATAAAAATAGAGTCAAGGAACTTAGAGTCATTAGTGAAGATGTGATAATAAGTAATTGTAATAGAAGGTAGAAACCTATAAGGACCCCCAATAGTTATGTAGCCTAGGTTTTGTGGGAATTTTTTATATATACTTTTTTTTTAATTAAGAGGGTCAGAAATCTTTGTTAAAGATGTCAAGAACATGTTCCTTGATGCATCGTAGGTCCTGGGTGAATCCACCTTGAAAGATAGTCAGATGTGGGAAAAAAAGAAAATGGAGATAAATTTATGGGCAGAGTGAGAAAGTAGAATGGAATCAGATTATTAAGAGACTTTTCCCATTTTTAGAGTCAGACGCAAGAGTTTGTGTTTCTTTGGTAGATGGGAGAAGTCACTAACGGGTTTTGAATGGTAGGATCATAGTTGGACTTCAGGAAGACACACCCACAAAGAGGGGTTTTTATTGGTCTTAACTCTCAAAGGAGCTTTAGGAGTTTGGTGAGTTTGTTTTTAAAATTACTTTATGGGTGAGGTGATGCAGCAACAGCTTCTGAGCCATGATTTAGTTCTGTTAAGAACCACTTCACCAGTAGAGCTGTTCTGGTAAGGGGTATAAACATTGCCCCCACCCCGTCGGCTGTGGTCTAAACTCTAAAAGCATTGGAATTTCATTTAGTAAAAAGGCTCTGCATGAAAAAGAATGTTTTAAAAAAGTCAACAAGCCAGCAGTGTTTAAGTTGGTTGCCTTTGAGAGGATATTGGCTGGAAAAAGTGGTTTAATTAGAGTGCTTTTGCAATAATCTTGACTGGAAGTGAAATGACAAAGATATCTTGAGTGGGTGAGGTTTCATAAAGGCAAGGACTCATAGACTTTATGACCTCCTGGATCTGGAAATCTCAAAGATCACTGTGACTGCCACATATATAGTGGGGCATTAACTTACATATTCATCATTGAGCAAATGGTTGAAATTATGTTAATTTTGACAGGTGCAAAATCAACATGCAAAAGAAGAGTCTCTTGCTGATGATCTCTTTAGGTAAAGTTTAATTTCAGCTTTTTCTGAATTTTTGAGAGATGTATATAAAATTTAGTTTTATTCTTAACAAATTATAAAGTAAATATTTCTTTCTCCTGTGATTAGAAATAAACATAGTTACCTCACTTAACGATGTTTTGTTTTTAATATATGTCTGTATTTTACTACTTGAGCACCTTTTAATTGGGTTGGCTGGATATAGCTGTATGGTTTGGGATTGATTTAGTTGGACTATATCATAAGATATTTAAAATTTATATGGGACATTCAGCAAAAATGTTCCTGAACTGGGTAAATTTGGCTTATAAATATTTGAGATTTTTTAACTCTGCATAGAATTATGAATGAATGATTTTTGATCTAAGTCAAGTAAAATATCGGACCATTAGTTTTCATCGGCACATGCATAAAAACAAGAAGCCAGATTAGAGATTCAAAACAGGTTTTTGTGAGAGGTTTAAAGGAGTTATATTGAATGATTACAATTTAATTCTGATTTCCATATTTTCCGCATAATAATATAATAATTTCATATTCTCATAAACCATGATATTATAGGTAAGTTATGGCTAGAGGAGAATAACATTTTCCCAAATTTAATTAAAGGCAGAACCAAGAAGTATTATATTTTTTGAGTCTCTGTTACAGCCAGTTCTTCATTCTCCAGTTTGATGGTTGACAGTTTGAATCTCTGGTAAAGTGTTGACAAATGGTACTGAATTTTCATAAAGCAATCAAATGAGAGTATGTGGTTGCCCAGCTGTGTTTAATTGCTGTAAGTGATAATTTTGTAAAAGTAATTATATTTTAATTTTATTATGCTCTTCTTGTGCAAATGGTATACTTTAATTTTTTGAAGCCATACTGGAAAAAAAAATAAACATACTTCTTTTTAAATTATTGCTTTTTGACTAATTAATACAAAGTAAAAGTCAAAATCAATAAGCAACTATAAACCAGAGACAAACTGTGGGGTGGGAAGGAGGGAGGTCCAGGGAGAAGAAGGACTAGGATCAAAATAAGGGGGGGTGCAATTGTATGGGGAATATAACCAAAAGGAAAATGCATACATTGTGCAAAAATGAAAAATGATGTAAGAATTATATAAAATAAAATTTTTTTTTAAAAAAGAAAATCAAGATCAAAAGGGAAAACATAAATAATTGCTTTTCTTTATTATATAATGCTTTACAGGATTTACTTTGTTGTTGATGTTATTTTTCATAATACTCAGCAAAGTAAGATAAAAAGGATAAATGAAAGTAAAAATGTCAGTGCTTGACCCTAAAGATAAAATTGACATTTTCATTTTTTTTGCCAAGTGTGACTCATTTATCTAGATATCATTTATGTCCATTTCTTTCTTTGCAGATATAATCCTAATGTGAAAAGGAGAAGATAACTGAAGATTTCATAAAGAAGCCATCAAAAACATTTCTTATCATACACTTCAAGTTTTTCCTGAGATTACATGCATAGAAGTTTAGAAGATTGAAGTTACAAATATTTTGTGGCCTAAGTTTGTTAAATAAAATGCACAAAATTCCACACTTTGGTTTGCAACAGTTACATTTTCTGTTTTCAAGTCATTGTCATTACAACTCTTAGAGCTTTTTATTTATTTTTAAATGTTTTTATTTACAAATGATACAGTGACAGCTGAAAATTTTGAAAGTATAAAAGGGCAAAGAAGAAAAAGTCTTTTCCATTACTGCCTTAGCTATTTATTTATTTCCCCTCATGATATTCATGAAGGGATTCATGATATTATGAATGACTCATTTCTTATGAGTCTAAAGTTTTTAATGCCTGTTTAACTTTGTTTGCATATCATTTTTCAGTAATTTCCTACAAAAATGATAGTGTAACATCTACACTGTTCTGCACTGGCATTTTCTCATGGAATGAAATCAGTGGGTCATAAGACATAAGAATATATATATTTTTAACTTTTTATGCTGTAGTCTTCTCAGACCTGAAGTGACCCAAATGAAGTGGAATTCAGTAGTAAAGATTTCACCCACATATTTATTCTAGTACTAGAAACTAAAACCAATATGGGCTATTCCATCAAGTTTGTAGATCTCACTAAAATGGGAAGACATATTTGGTGATCTTTGTGAGATGGATGTACATTTATTTTGAGCTTCTTAGGCTCCTATTATCCTATGTAAAGAGAAATAAAATAGTTAAGATTGTGTTCTTTCTACCTTAGAGAGAGATGGTAAGAAATTTCGTTAATATAGACAACTGTTGTACATTAGAATAATGTTTACATCTTTTTATCAAATTAAGGACTGATGCGTTATGTCCTATGAAATAGATCAAGCCTTTTATTCTAACTGAAAGCTTCCAGGGCTCACGTGGGTTCTTCCACCCTAAGGAGCCTTGCCTTTTAGGTTGAGACAGCACAAGACCCTTTGATTCCAATGCAGTAGATAACAGCTAACCCTGCCAGTCATCTCTCCACTAGGAGTGGTCTAGTGTAGGAGAGGAAACATCAGCTAGGCCCTCTGGGTATATTTGAAATCTTTGTGATTATCTGAGGTACCATCTTTGTTCTTAGTGGCTTCCATAGTTCAGGGTATGCTACTTCAGAGTCCTAATGGGAAAGATGTAGGCTGATTGGAAGCTGGTGCCTCAGGCAGCAGCTTTTAAAGTATGCAAAGTATTCATTTCTTCCTGGTAATGTGAACTGGACATTTCTCTCTGTTTCTCCTGCACGGAAACCTGGGAGACTAGCCTGATAAAAACTGTTTCTTCTTTGCTTCTATTTGTGGGGCACAGGAACACAAGCCGCATTGAGCCAGGTGAGCCAGGCTGCCAAGGAGTGTCTGCTGGGTGGCAGCTGCAATAGCTGGGGCTCCAGATGTGTCCACAGCTGTCAGGGAGATACTGGTGATTTGGATTGGGAGACTGCAGAATTAGTGTCTGCTGGCTTCCCTAGTCTTCAAGGGAGGATGCAGTCTATCCCTGGTTGGAGCTAAATTAAAAGCTTGACTTTCAGACCGCAGCTTTTAAAATATGCAAACAGGCCTCTGTAAGGGAAAAGTGGAAGATGTGTTTTTCTGTCTGCCACTACTTTGAGCCCTGGTGGGGATAGCTGGCTGGGGACTTTGTTTGCTATAGACCTATCAAACCCACCAATACTGGTGCTGCTGTCCATCAGAGCCAGAATATGAAAGGGTGTGTCATCTGGCTGGCAACTGCAACCAGGGTGCCAGGTGCACAAATTCCTTTTGGGGAAACAAATTGGAGCAGGGCAGAGAGAGAATGCAAAGGTGGCACAATCTGGTCTCTGGAGAGGATCTCAGTCTGCCCCCAGATGTGAGCAAAATTCAGAACCTGAAACTCAGGCAGCAGCTTTTCTTTTTTTTCTTCACACATTGCTATTTTGTTATTGCAAGGGTGAAAATGCCACCTCCACAACAGCAGTCAGTAAAATGTATCCCAATCACTTTTTTTTAATTTTAATTTTTTTTATTTTTATATTCCCCAAACAATTGCAACCCCTTTATTTTGACCCCAATCCCTCCCCCCTGCCTCCCTCCCCTCATAAAGTGTCTCTGGTTCATAGTTGTTTGTTGATTATGATTTTCACTTTCTTATAGATATTGCCCAATCACTTTTTAAAGATGTAAACAGAATTTCAGGGAAAGACTGAGGGGGAGATGGGCATTTTTGTCTGCTGTCTACTGAGCCCTGGGTGATTGCCACAGTGAGTCTAAGCCAGTTTAAAACTGTCTACTCTTCCTGTGGGTCTCCTCACACACTAATGCTGTTGGCTTTCAGAGGTTAGGGCTTGCGGGTGGGTGGGGGGTCTGTTGCTCAGGTAGAAGTCTTAAAAGTTGGGACTCTAGATGTTGGATCCAAATCCTTCACTCTTCAGAGAGCATTTGGCAATTCCTTCTGGATATTTCTTTACTGAAGGTGGGGATTATGGAGTGAGTCTCAGTCTTTGCTACCCTTTTCTTTTTTTTTTTTTTTTTTTTTTTTTTTTAATAGAGGCATGCTTTATTTATTTGTTTGCTGGTTTGTTTGTTTGTTTTGTTTATACATGCACTGGGTACAGTCAGAAGCGCGGGAGGGTGAGAGAATTCACCAGAGCCAGAGCGGGGAGCAGAGCAGGCAGAAGGACCGAAGTACACTGCTGAGGGGAGCAGCGGGCGGCAGGAGAGGTCTGCACGCCATGTGGGACCCTCCTCTGGTGGCCGGGGAGCAGCCGGGGATCGAACCGGCGCCGCAGAGGCCGCGGGCAGCTTCGCAACCCAGCGCTCAACCGCTGCGCCACCGGTGAGGCCCTTTGCTACCCTTTTCAACGAGAGATTTTTTTGTTAGTTTTTTCTCAGTCACCCGTAGTTTAGGATTTGCTCAGCTAGTTTCAAGATTTTTTTTTCCCCCAGAGGGAATTGTTCCATGTGCAGTGGGCACGATAGGAGATGTCTGCCGCGCCATGTGGGTATCTCCCCAGCCGGACAGGAATCAAATCCATGCTAGAGGTGACAGACAGCTTCACAGCACTGTGCTCAACCTGCTGCGCCACCAGGGAGGCCCGTTTTCAGGAGTCTCTTGTAAACAAAATATTGTTGAAGCTTTTCATTCAGTGTGGTCATGTATGATTTTAAATTGGTGTTTAATCCATTTATATGGTGTATAGTTGTTGGTATGACTGGTTTGAAGTCTTACATCGTGCTTTTTTTCCTCATCTGTTGACTCCTTATCTTCTACCTTCTTTGGGGTTAATTAATACTATTTTTTAGCCTTTTTAGTTACACCTTTTATATTTGTTTAATATTTGCTGTAAGGACATTCTTATTGCTTCTATCTTAATAACATATTACTTGTATAATATACACATCTCATAAGTGTATATTTTCAGTATTCCTTTTGTGCTATAATTATACATAGTCTAAATCTTGGTTTTTCAATTTTATTTTAAATAGTTTCTGGTTAAACATTGCTATCTACCTTTCAAAAGTCAAATGACTTATTTATTTTTTATTTTTTAAGATTTATTTATTTATGCATAAAAGAACTGGGGTGTAGGCCAGAACTGGCGTGTAGGGGGAGGGTGAGAGAATTCGCCAGAGACAGAGTGGGAAGCAGAACAGGTGGATTTACTAAAATACACTGCTGAGGGGAGCAGCGGGCAAGACAGGAGAGGTCTGTTGCACTGTATGTGGGTTAGCTCCCTGGTGAGGGATCAAACTCAGGCCATGGCAGTGATAGCTCTGAGACTTAACCCCTAGGCTACCAAGGAGGCCTTCAAGTGGCTGTAAAATAAGAAATTAGAAAATCATTTCTAGCACTTTTTTCTTTCATGTAGATGTATGTTTTCATCAGGTATCATGTGCCTCAAAATGTGAACTACCTTTAACATTTCTTGTAGGGCAGGTCTTCTGGTAACAAATTTTCTCAGCTTTCATTTACCTTAAAAAAAAGTCTTTATTTCATCTTTGTTTTAAAGGGTTGTTTCATCGGATATAGTTTTAGTTTTAGTTATTTTTCTTCTGCCCATTAAAAACAATGCCCACTGTCTTGATTGCATTCTCTGGTCAGTTACTCAAATCATTGTTCGCTGTTAATGTGTCCACTTTCATATTCTGATTCAGAATTTTCTCACCTTTGTTCAGTAGCTTTCAATAGTGCTTCGATGTGGTTTCCTTTGTATTTATCCTGTTTGCAGTTTGAGTCTCAGATCTGTAGTTGTGTTTTATTTTTTAAATCAAATTTTGAATATTTTCAACAGCTCCAAATATACTTTTCTGCTGTTTTTCTCTCCATCTGGCTTCAAACTATTCATGTTAGAGCATTTGTTATTTATCCTATGATTGTTTTTTTAAACTGTGCTTCAATTTATGCTTTAATAGTTTCTATTAACCTGTCCTTAAGTTCACTGGCTGTTTCTCTGGCAATATGTTGAATATTGTTAAGCGGAATGTATTTTTTAACTGTGGATTGTTCTTTTTTAAATTTTTTTCTGAGATTCTTCACATCTAGACTCACTGTTCACATTTTCCTTTAGTACTTTTGAACATATTTTGTCAGCACACCTAATATTTTATTAGTGTCAAGTTTTATGCTAGCAAATAGTTAAAATAATTTACTGGCAAATGAGCTTGAGCCAGTTGAGATCATGTTGAAGCTCAATTTTAGGCTAACATGCATTTAGAGTGACTGCATTCCCAAAGCCTGGCCTCTGTGAGGTCACAATTGAATGCCTGGGGCTTTCAACAAGATCTTGCTACTACTCAGGGTGAACACAACTCCAGTGCCTTCTAGAAGTGTGTATCTCCAAACACTGTTCATCTTCAACTTAGTTATGATCTCTGCTCTTAGTACTGTTTATAATTGAAAGAAATTTGAGAGTCATACTGCAAATTTCTGATTCTGCTACCCTGCAGTCCTTTAATATCCAATTCAACAAATTCCAACAGGAACCCTGAATTGTTTTCTTCCAAGTAGAGATGACTCTACTTCCTGTTTTAGGAAATTGTCCTCAGATAGAAAGTTGAAATTAGGGCTCACCTGTTGTTTCCTCTCTTAAATATCTTAAATGGGCTGCTGTCCACTGTGTGAAAATATTGCTTT